ATTTATATGTGGTGCTGAAAAGCAGACCCAGTGCCTCACACATGCCAGGCAAGTGAGCCCCAGCCCCAGCCCCTTCCTGATCTTTTTGTTTATAATTAATTTGTTTTATGAATTGGTTGTTATGAGGGAACCATAAATCCTATGGATTTGATGGCCTTCATTTTTCTAGACTTTTAATCTAGAAGGAAGCAAATTCACTTAACAGCCATTTATGGTATAACTGCTTTTGGCCTGACCTTATGCATAGTCCTAGAAATTTAAAGATGAATGAAGACAGTCTCTGCCCTCAAGGAACTCACAATCTGGTAGGAGAGTTCAAATTACTAGGGATTGAACCCAGGGGCATTTAAAAATTGAGCCACTTCTCCAGCCCTTTTTATATCTTATTTAGAGACAAGGTCTTCTTAGGTTGCTTAGGGCCTTGCTAGTTTCTGAGGCTGGCTTTGAACTCGTAGTCCTCCAGCCTTTGCCTCCCAAGCTGCTGGGATTACAGGCCTGCACCCTGCAGTTAGCTCAAAGAATAATTTTTAAAAAGAGATAAATACTTATAAAAGTGTGTACTCTAGGATAGGGAAGACAACTAATTTTTGTAGGCTATTAAGAATCAGAAAATCGGGCTGGGGATATAGCTCAGTTGATAGAGTGCTTGTGTTGCATGCACAAGGCCCTGAGTTCAATCCCTAGCACCACCACCCCGATACACACACGCACACACACACACACACACACACAAAGAATCAGAAAATCACTGGTGTGATGGCCCTCGCCTGTAATCCCAGTGGCTGGGAGGCTGAGACAAGAGAATCATGAGTTCAAAGCCAGCCTCTGCAATGGCCAGGTGCTAAGCAATTCAGTGAGACCCTGTCTCTATAAATAAAACAAAATAGGGCTGAGATGTAGCTCAGTGGTCAAGTACTTCTGAGTTCAATCCCTGATACCAAAAAAAAAAAAAAAAAAAGAAAAGAAAAAGAAAAAACCAGATATCATCCACCCTTTCAAATTATATGAAAGTGTAATTCCCAATTTTTTGCAGCCTTTGATAATATGAAATAATAAGAAGGTACAAGTCTGTTATTGCCTTTGAGCTCCAGTTCAATTTAAGCCATGTCCTCTTGACCATTTTCTTAGGATGCATTAGTTATTCTTAACAGCCCAAGAGTTTGTGAACATTTCTTTTTATTTGCAAATGTTCCCAAAGCTTGGTCTGTTGATATGTGGCCAGTTCAAAATAACTTTTCTATAGATAGCATTTTTAATTTGAACATGTTAATCCCAGACAAGGGCATCACACTTAGTTTCTATTTTGCTCTTGTGGAGGATAAGTCTTTTAAGAGCCTCATAGCTCAGCATGAATTTCATGACCCGCATTTCTTAGTAGCTACTTTGCCTTTAGCATCTTTTCTGCTTGATGAGTTGATAAAAGCGTGTCCTAGTTTCTTCAACCTGTTTTGTAACAATAATTCAATCTGCATTTATTCTTTCCTTATTGCTTCCTTGAGGTTTAAAATCTATTTAGTATATTCATGATTATTTTTCTGTAGTCTTCAATTCCAGGGAGGATTTTCTTCTCTGTCAGTCTCTAATAGATCCTCCGTAATATCTGAGATGTCTATTAATTTTTTCTTTATAAAATCAGAAATTATAGGGCTGGGGCTGTAGCTCAGTGGCAGAGTGCTTGCCTAGCATGTGTGAGGCACTGGGTTCCATCCTTAGCACCACATAAAAATAAACAAATAAAGGCATTCTGTCCATTTACAACTACGAATTTTTTTTAAATCAGAAATTATAATCTGATAGTGACGTATAAGCATATCCTCTGTCTTGTGGATGTCTCCTCCATTGTTCAGAGTTCGATGCTTCATTCTTTATGCTGTAGTTCTTGCCTTTAACATATCCTGTTCTATTTTTGATCAATTTCATATCACTTGTTTCTTTCCTGGATTGTGGCATTGTCTTCTGTCTTATTTGCTTGGGTGACAACTTGTTTTCATAAATTTTTTTTGAAATATGATAATTTAGGAACCTGAAAAGTTGATTTAAACTGTAGGTTGACTTTTTGTTTTATGGACACAATATCTTTATTTATTTATTTTTTATGTGGTGCTGATCGAACCCAGTGCCTCACATGTGAGGAGCAAGCTCTCTACCGCTGAGCTATAACCCCAGCCCCTGAAGGCTGATTTTTTTTTCTTTCATTAACATTCAACAGTATCACAAAAATATATATGATTTGGGGGCTGGGGTCGTAGCTCAGTGGTTGAGTGCTTGCCTCGATCCTCAGCACCATGTAAAATAAATAAATAAATAAAATAAAGACATTGTGTCCATCTACAACTAAAAAAATTTAAAAAATATATACATGATTTGAAGAACTTGTGTACATGTCCATTCTTCTTAAGACTGATGTTGTGTATATTTCACTGAAAAAATGTCCTCTACAGCTGATGTGTTGCCAAAATCAATTATTACATAATCTGTGACCAAAGAGAAATCTAAAAGTAGTGGCTTCTTCTGGAAACAACAAACACTATCTGGAAATCATCACATCTGCCTAAAAAATATTTTAAAGATTTTTGTGCCACTCATGTATTGTTTGTTTTCAGGTTATAATACATGCCCATTACAGAAAAAATTTAAGAATGTAGAAAAACACAAAGAAGAGAAATGCCGTCAGTAATTGTGCCACCTAAGAAAACCATCTGTTATTTCTGCAAAAGCCTAGATTTTCTTTTTCTTCTCTCTCTCTCTCTCTCTCTCTCTCTCTCTCTCTCTCTCTCTCTCTCTCTTTTTTGGTACCAGAGATTGAACTCTGGTACACTGGACCATTGAGCCACATCCCCAGCCCTGTTTTGAGTTTTATTTAGAGACAGAGTTTCACTGAGTCGCTTAGCACCTCGCTTTTGCTGAAGCTTGCTTTGAACTCATGATCATCCTGTTTCACCCTCTCAAGCCTCTGGGATTATAGGTATGTGCCAGGGCACCCGGGTCCAGATTTTCTTGAAGCCTTAATCTAGCAACCTCTTTACCCCTAAGTCCTTCTCCTCAATAGACTGTTTAGAACATTCAAAGTGGAAGGCTAACTTTAAATACATGGGTCTTTAGGGTTTTTATGGAAGGGATAGAACTGTAGGAAAAAACCTACAAATTGGTCCAGAGATGACATCTTGTTCTTATTTAGCTTTCTTTGAGTCATTAACAGTCGGGCGCCACTGGTGCTGAAACTTATCATTATTATAACCACAAATGGGTTAATGCCCAAACAAAGCTATATTCTTGGGGCTGGTTCCCAGTTTTACCTCACAGACCCCAGTAGCAGCACCCTCCATGTCCCAGGATAATGCTCCACAAATAAGAGGATGTCAAATGTTTAGCCTAGTCTTGAAATTCTCTTCTTTTATCTGTGGAGGGGGGCAGTTTCCAGTTGCCAGCAGGACAGAGCAAAAGGAAAAAATAAATAAATAAACATCCAGCCAACAAACCCTAAAAAAAAGAGGCTATGCGGTTTAGTGGTTAGACCAGTAGCCTGGATGTTGGGATTGCTGAGATCCTGTTCTAGCTCTCCCACTGACTGGATGGATGATACTAGACAAGTCACTTTTGTGACTCATGCCTCAGTTTCCCTACTTAGAAAGAGGAGAAGTGTCTTACATTGTTTTCATGAACACATATGAAATTATCTGCAAATACCTTCAGGCTGTTTGGGAATAAAGTAAAATTATCATCTTTAATAATTACTATCCTATTATTTTATTAATATTACAGTAATGAGCCACAAGTATGAAACTTATGAAACTCCTATACCCTCAAGCTGCATGGGAAGAGTGGTGGATGGAGCAGGGAGAAGGCAAAGTTTTTAAAAACCAGATTTGTAGGACTTTTCATCAAATACCAAATTAGTAAATTCATTACCTCAAAATACTAAACACGGCTCCTAGTTTGGCTTTGTCCCTTTCTCCTTACCACATCCAAATTCGAGAGTGACTCACAGGAGCCTAGAATTGAGACACATATACAATTTTAAGGGAAAGGGAGAATTAGGAGGTTTGAGGCTCCTTGCTAGAGGAGGCTAAGAATAGGACATTCAGAACACAAAGAGAAGAACCTTCTCTTTCCTTCTCCTCCCAGTGTAGGTGGTCTATTGGTTTCCAAGTCCTTTTGATGGCATGATTTTTGTTTTCTTTCTGTCTTTTTCACAAAACCTCACCTTGTTGGAGGGGGGTGGACACGTACTAAAAAAGCAAGGACAGAGTGGCTTTTTCTGCTGGATTTAAACAGTGAAAATTGCTACAGATCTGTTATTGGGAGTGGAAAGGAGCAGACAGAGAAATATCTGGGAACCTGAAAACTAATGAATATTCTCTCCTCTCAAAGGAGAAGTAAGCAATTGGGCATGTGAAGAAAAAATCTAATACATGTCTTACTTTCTGCACCCTTCACCTTCAAGAAATAAAGTGTCTGGGTAGAAAAAAAGGAAAGACGCTTAGGAAAGGCATGAAATAATAGGGATGATAGTAGAAGGAGGACCCAAAAGAGGATTTGAAAGGAAATGGCAATTGACTTACTGAGTACTTTATGAACACCTTTTGTTGTGTCCAGCACTGTTGCAGGCTAAAGGACACATCCCTAACTTCAAGAAGTAGCCACATTACAATATGCACGTGAAAGCACTTTGTAGCAATGTAAGACAGTACACGCTAAGGAGACAAAAATAGGTAATGAGACTGTTTATGGGAGTTCACGAGTGGGAATTGTTGAGTCACGGTGACAGCTTTATAAACAGGAATAGGTATGAAATTCAGAAATTGCAGATATGGATGGCTGACAGTAATTCTTTGACATCAGGAAACATGACAGATTCAAAGGACTCTCCATCTCAGATTCTTCTAAAACCAAGTCCGCAAGAACCGTGTCCAACGAAACCTCGGCCCCCGCGAAGTGACTGATGGCGGAACTTGCGTGGCGGACTCAGCGTTGCGCCCCGGAGACTGTTGGCGTTACACCTCCTCCGCCTCCCGTTTTGCCTCCCTCCACGGGTGCCATGGCAACCGAGAGAGAGCGCAACCTGGGTTCCGGAAGCTAGAGAGCTGGAGCTTGGAAGGTACCCGGGTCAAAGGATGCTGAGTCCCGAGCGCCTAGCCCTACCCGACTACGAGTATCTGGGTAGGCGCTTCCTTCAACTTTGGGGAAGGAAAGTGAAGACGAATTAGGCCAGGGTGTGGGGAGGAGGCGGGGTCTGAGTGGGAACGGGTCCGGGTGGGATGGGAAGGGGCGGGGAAGCTGGGGTTCCAGGGCCTGGGCGTGTAATGTAAGGCCTAACGGGGAGGAAAAACTGCAGCTGGGGAGTAAAGCTTACGGGGTGGATTGTGTTCAAAGAGGGACACGTTGGGGTATTATTGATCTGCTGGTAGTGGAGTAAATAACCTTGGAACCTGAAGTGTCCTGTCAGTCATTCCATGAATAATCATTTTACCGTTACAGTGGCAGCTAACAATTTTAGCTTTTCTTTTACATTAGGCACTATGCGAAGTATTTTATGTGCAGTATTCTTTGAAACTTCCCAACAGCACTAGAAGAAATTATGTTTTCTTCCATTTTGCAGATGGTGAAATTAAGGCTGAAGAGGTAACTTGCATAAATAAGACCACACAGCTAGAAACGGTAGTGCTAGGATCAGAACCTGATTTACCTATGCCTTAACTCTTGAGCTAAGGTTGTAGTTGCAGTGCAGTGCTTTAGCATATTTAGTGTATAAAGCATTTGCTGCACGAAACACACACACACGTACATACATATATATGCACAGACATGCATTTTTTATAGTTAATATCACAGATACTTTTGCATCTAATGCATAACAATATCAGTGTCTAGACTTTTGCTAAGGATTTTGTGTATTTAATCTCATTTACCCAGTACTCAATGAACCTGTGAAATAAAGCCTAGCAGGAGCATATAGTACCTACTTTTTAAATATGCCTCAGAGATAAATAGACTTAAATTTTAGAAGAGTTTAAACTTCCAGAAAACTGAGCACATAATAGAGTTCCTTGTTTTACCCACTCCCATTCAGTTTCTTCTATTACTAACATCTTGCATTAGTGTAGTACATTTTTTACAGTTGATAAACTGATATAATACATTATTAGTAACATAAACAAAAGTTTATGTTGGGCTTCTCTCTTTGTGTTGTAAGTTCCTTGGGTTTTGACAGATTCATAATGTCATGTATTCACACAGAATAGTTTTGTTGCCTTAAAAATGCTCTGTGCTTCATGTGTTCATCCTCTCCCTGTCCCTATCCTTTGGCAACCAGTGATCATCTTACTGTCTCTAAAGTTTTGCCTCTTCCAAAATATCGTATTTTTGGAGGACTGCAGTGTATAAACTTTTCAGATGGCCTTCTTTCTCTTACCAACAGGTATTTAAAGCTTCTCTGTGTCTTTTTGTGGCTTGACAGCTCACTTCTTTGTGTTGCTGAATAATATTCCATTGTATGCGTGTATCATACACATTTATTAATGAAAACCAATCCTGGATAAGATTTTTGAATTGGTAATATGGAAACTTGATTCAAAAAAATCAAAACCAGTTGCTGTGGCACACACCTATAATCCTAGTTACTCAGGAGGCTGAGGCAAGAGGACCTCAAGTTCAAGGCCAACGGGGGGCAACTTATTAAGACCCTGTCTCAAGATAAAAAAATAGGAACAGGGATGTAGCCCAGTCATATAGTGCTCCTGGGTTCAACCTATCCCAATGTTTATAGTAAAAGTCTCTTCTAGCTTTTTTCCTCCAGTCTGCCATGTTCTCAGCCATCCTCAGACACCCTGACTCCTGAAGTAAACACTATTATTGGTTTCTTGTGTATCTTTCTAGCTTTCTAGAGTTTATTAGGTTCATAAAGGAGCATATAGTGCCTACTTTAAAATATGTCTCAGAGTTATTTTGGTATCAGCAGAGAGCTTCCTTGTTCTTTAAAATTTATTTTTTGCTACATAGTATTTGACTAATTCAATTCCTCATTAGTAGACAATGAATTGTTTTTTATCCTTTTGTCATTACTAAAAATGCCTCAATGAAGAAACCTGCAGTTTTGTTTCTTCATAAGTATGTCTACAAGAATGAATTTCACAAGTGGAGTTGGTAGGTCAAGTGCAATACATTTGAAATATTTATATTGCCAAACTGCCTTTTACAGAGGATGTACCATTTTATACTGCCACCAACAGTGTAACATAATGCCTGCTTCTCACAATCTTGCCAGTGAAACAGACAAAACCTTGGGATTTATTTTCAGTCTGTTAAATGACATACTCAGGGGATATTTAATGTGCATTTCTTTTATGAAGTTGAATTTTTTTTACCAAGTTTAAGTTTTGGTTTTTGAAAGATTCATATACACATATGAATATTTACACATAAACACATTGAGAAAGAGGGGTGAAGGGAGAGATAGCTTAAGAGACTGATCACATTTATTATTTTTTTAAATTTTTAGTTGTTGATAGACCTTTATTTTTTTTATTTTTATGTAGTGCTGAGAATCGAACCCAGTGCCTCGCACATGCTAGGCAAGTATGCTACTGCTGAGTCACAGCCCCAGCCCCTGTTCACATCTATTAATCAGCAAAATGGGAATAGTTAATATCACAGATACTTTTGCATCCAATGCATAACAATATCAGTGTCTAGCAATACTTCGACTTTTGCTAAGGATTTTGTATATTTAATCTCATTTACCCAGTACTCAATGAACCTGTGAAATAAAGCCTAGCAGTATACTGTTCAGCTCCTTGAATGTTTGCTCTTTGAGTGACTTGGTGTATTTGATATACTGGTGCTTTGGTGAGCAGAAGTTGGTGATTTTTTCCTAGGTGGCTTAGGCAGAACACTAAATCAGTGGCAATGTTGATAACGAATCTACAAACAGAATCAATGTCTTAGGTTGGTTGAAAGTTTCTGTGTTCATGGAGTCCAACCACCCACCTAATATTGGAATCCTAGACAAATCTCCTTTAGCCTTTAAAAAGGCAGTTAAGTTTCAAGTGTCTTAACTCCCTGTCCTAACTGTCAGGACATCATTGTGTCCTTAGAAGAGTTATGCCGATGGCGGGCTCCCATGTGGTTCATCAGACCATACAATTCAGCTAAATTGCATTGTTTTTAATTGAGAACAACCCCTGTCTGTTACAATTTGGTCTCTCTTAGAGGCATACTGTTTTGAAACATTCACCCTCAATTTAATGACCATTTAAAACCACTCCCTAAACCTGAAGAAGGAAGATCTTGGGTTCAAGGTGAGCCTGGGCTACACAGTGAGACCCCATCTCAAAAACACAAAAAACAAAATTAAACTAAAAACCCCACTTCCTATAGATTAGACTCTACTTCCTGATTTAAAAATTTAAATGCTTGTGGGTTTTAAAATTTGTCTTTGTTTTGTTTTTATAAATTATAAAGTCAGTTGCATATGTATAGGGCTTAGGGAAGAAAATACGTAAAGAGCAAAGAAAATTGCAGAGACAGAAAAGCCCTTGGCATACAGTGAAACAGAAAAGGTAAAGTTGAGTAGCCCTTGGTAAGTGCATCCAGAATCTCTGTTTAGGATTATGTATAAATTACAGGGATACCTATACAATGACTATCTATCTATGGTCTCCCTTTCTTCCTGCTAATCAGGGATTGTACTTGGCTTTTTGACTTAGTGAGGAAAACAGTCTTTCATCATATTAGGTAAACTGATCCTTTCCCCACTGACTTTATGGATTAGGAATCTGTAACCATGGCCTGAAATGGTTTAGGATTTGAAGATTATCATTAAAGAAGAGCTCAGTAATGTTCATTCCTGCAGTCATCAGAATGGAGGGATAGAAATTGTATTAATGCCCAGGCCTGATGAGAGAGAGAGGTCTGGTAAGGACATAAGTATAGAACCTTTTGTGTAAGATCCATGAAAGAGTTCCAGCCCCATGAAGCTACATAGTGGAAGCTTCTGCCAGAGGCTGAGGTGTGTCTGTGAATCTGATTGGGTGTGGAGAACTCTCTAGAGCTGAAGGGCAGCCTGTTCCGGCCCTAGGTTTGCAAAATACACTACCTACGTGCTGACCTGAGTATAAGCAAGAGGGTGTGAGATTTATTTTTGACTCCACCTAATCTGGTGAAGTGCACACTTTCACTTACCTTCCCAGCTGGCTTCTCTGTTTCCATGGAACCTGCTCATTCTCATTCAGGTTGGGAGTGGGTTGGCATAACAGATACCTTGAGGAGACCAGATGGTTCTTCTCCATTGGGGTCTGTGCAGTTAGTGGAATCACAATAATTGGGTAGGGTTTTTTAAAGCTATAGTTTGTTATTTTTCTACTTTTGTGTTTTTTTCTTTTTGTTTTGTTTGAGCTTTTAAAAATTGTTTCTTTTTTAGATTATTATTTTCTGTTTTTTAGCTATACTTTTTGCACTCTCTGTATATGACAGGCACTGTGTTTTATTTTGTTTAACCTTTGCAACTACCGTATGAAGTATGTACTATTATTAGCACCATTTAATAATTATTAGTATCACCTTCTCATTTACAAACAAGGAAACTGAGGTTTGGAAAGACATTCATTTGCACGTGGTCACATAAGCAATGTCGGATTGTAAAGCAGGGATTCAAACCTAGGTTTGTCAGATTCCATAGCCTGTGCTTTTTCATTGCCACCAAAAAGATAAAAACAAACAAATAAAATCAACTATTGGCCTAAAGGATGATGGTCTTTCTTTTTCTGTTAAGGATGGAACTCTTGAATAGTTCACTAGTTTCAAATAAGTTTCCTAAATGAAGAATGGCTTATTCATCATTTTATACTGTTCTTTCACAATATAAATACTTCATACATATATGCTAAATGGAACATGAATAATCTGGCCTTAGGGTACCCAAATGTGAGTAGCTAACAGCAACAACTTACACCAGGTACCATCTTCAGTGCTATATATATTTATACAAATGAAGATAGTTTCATTTGTTGTTGCCATTTTACAGATGAAGATACTACAGCACTAAGATAATAAATAGCTAGGTAGTAAGGGATAGAAACAGAATTCTAATCCAGAAGTCTGATTCAAGTTCATGATTAAACTCTGTGCTATAAATACTTTGAGCACCTTCAAAAAATGGGGCG